ATCAAATTGACATCAAACATAGACGTCAAAAAACAGGTCAAAAACGTAAATCAAATCTTATTGCTATATTGCTATAATGTAATTTATTTTTGTGATACTGAAAAATGTTTTTGTTTTTTAATATTTTAGCATTTTAGCATTCTTTTATTATTTTTTTCGTTTTTCCCCCTGTCTTTTTCGTGTTGCTAAGGGGGGGTCAAACTTGAATTTGACTTTTTGAAACTGGAAAACAGGAAAACAGCCATAGATATGTATACTGTATTTTAATTACTTAAAATGAGTGATACAAGAGTCTCTATCTTTGCTGGACAGCTGTACAGCAGTCAAAACCATCATCGTCAGAGGCTGACATTAAAAAATACATGAAGAATTATCTCCGGTCTGCTCCCAAAAGATGTGGGTGTATGGGACGCCAAAAGGGCCAGACAGTGATTGATCTGTGTTCTGATTCTGAATAGGTATAAGCTAGCATTTACACTACCAGTCAAAAAATTTTGAACAGTAAGATTTTTTATGCTTTTTAAAGAATTCCTACTATTTAAGAATTTTACTATTTAAAATAAGTGCTTTCTATATTAATATATTTTAAAATGTAATTTATTCCTGTGATCAAAGCTGAATTTTCAGCATCATTACTCCAGTCTTCAGTGTTACATGATCCTTCAGAAATCATTCTAATATACTCATTTGATATTCAAGAAAAATGTATTATTATTATCAATATTTAAAACAGTTGAGTACATTTTTTCAGGATTCTTTGATGAATTGAAAGATCTAAAGATTGGCATTTATCTGAAATTAAAATTATATTTTGTAATATACACTATACCATTCAAAAACTTGGAGTATATATATATATACATATATTGGGGGGTGGCAGGGTGGGAAGAAATTATAGAAAGTAATACTTTTATTTAGCAAGGATGAATAAAATTTATCCAAAGTGATGACAAAGACAATGTTACAAAAGGTTTCTATTTCAGATCAATACTGATCTTCTGAGCTTTCTATTCATCAAAGAAAGCTGGAAAAATTCAACTCAGCTGTTTTCAACATAATATAATAATAATAATAATAATAATAAGAAGAAGAAATGTTTTTTGAGCAGCAAATTAAAATATTAGAATGATTTCCGAAGGATCATGTGCCACTTAAGACTGGAGTAATGACGCAAAACATTCAGATTTGAAATCACAGGAATAAATTACATTTAAAATATATTCAAACAGAAAACAGTTATTTTAAATAGTAAAAATATTTCAAAATGTTATTGCTTTTGCTGTACTTGGATCAAATAAATGCAGGCTTGGTAAGCAGAAGAGAATTCTTTAAAAAACATAAAAAACTTTTGACTGGTAGTGTATCTACATCATTTATCTACCATATGTTGTTAATCCATCTATGAATTTAAGCCTTTTTTTCATGCAGAGTTAACCTTTGATTTACATTGACTGTAGTCCCTTCAGGGGATAAAAAATCCAGTTCACATTTATATTTTGGAATTGTATCTTGATAAATAAAACATTTCTTACTGTTGTGTCATTATTTTGGTGGTCTAGAATAGGACATGTGTGGATGTCAAATTGACAAAGTTTTTGACGTCAATTTGACTTACATTTTTGACCTGTTTTTTGACGTCAATATTTGATGTCAATTTGACATCTTTTTGACATCAATTGCCCACAGGAATGCCCTTTCACAATTTTGTATCACTCCGCTTGTTCTAGCCGGGTCTATGTTTTAAAAAAAATGATTATTCACTGAGCTAATCGTAGAGTACGTTAGTTAATATAAGAAGAAACGTCTAGCTTCACGGTCTCTCTCTCTCTCATTTGGATGCACGTCTTGCATTGTTTCTCTCTTATAACCTCATTATTTCTTACTAATAACTTAACTCTAAAAGTGTAATGTTTAACTGTCAACTTGAGCTTTGAATCCGTGGCGGAAGGAAGTAGTTCCGCACAAAAGAGGGTTTTATTAGGCGCTCCGTTGTTTCTTGTTTAATTACACACATATATATATATATATATATATATATATATATATATATATATATATTCTGATTTCTGATATTAAAGTATTATGATTTCCACAAAAATATTAAGCAAGGTCAGCACCAATAGCCTTGTGGGCAGCGCGCCAACATGCAGTGCCATTGCACTTCAGGGTGTCCCATGTTCGAATCCTGACTCGAGGACCTTTCCCGATCCTGCCCCCCTCTCTCCCATTTTGCTTCCTGTCATGTCTGATCTGTCCTATCACAATAAAGGCAAAAATATATATATATTTATATATATTAAGCAATAAATGTTTCTTGAGCATCAAATCATCATATTAGAATGTTTTCTGAAGGAAAATCATCTGAAACTTAAGACTGGAGAAATGGCTTCTGAGAATTCAGCTTTTTTTTCTTAAAAAGGACACTACTGTTTTTTTATCTATAATTTATTTCTAAAATCAATCTATAATAAATCTATAAATTTTGTACTCCATGTGTCAACCACCTGGGGAAATCCCAAACCCCTGCAAGCAATTTCAGCATGGGTGAGGTAGAGGTACTCTATGCTGATAAGACCATCTGATCAAATCCTTTATCACAGTGACTTGCAAAGTCATTGGAGCGATGCCAATGTCAGATACAAGCCTCTGACCAACAATCCACAGAGAGCACATCATATTAGCATCTGCCACAACACAAATAAACAGACATGTGCTCACGTTTACACCTTTAACCTGAGCTTCTGTCAGCTCCAAAAGTATCACACAGCGCTCGCTCCGGAACACCTACGACCCCTGCTAACTAAATAATTAAGACTCTGAGTTTCTTTCAGAGCGTGAACCCTTGAGCCAGAGCTCTCACTGTCAGAGGAACTTCTCATGAGGGGCACTGTGCAAATAAATTACGCAGGTAATGAATAGAGCTATCCTTGAGCCTGGAATGAACCGAGGATGCATGTTAAACAGAATGGACCCTATGTGCCTCTTAATTTACAGATTTGTAAGCGAATGAAGATATTAATCAGGATAAATTGAATAAAACATGGAAACATTTAAAGGGGTGGTTGATTGCGATTTCACTTTTTTAGTGTTAGTTAGTGTCTAATGTTGCTGTTTGAGCATAAACAATATCTGCAAAGTTACGAAGCTGAAAGTTCAATGCAAACAGAGATATCGTCTTTTAAAATTCTGGTGGTTTAATGCCTACAAAAACGGCTGGTAGGGACTACAACGAGTTACTTCCCGGGTTCGTGACATCACAAACCCAGATAAACCCCCGTCCTCGGGAAAAGGCAGCAAAGGGGGCGAGGCCATGCTGCGCTGCTTTACCGTGCGTTCACACAGCCGCTGTCGAGAGCGTCAAAGTGGCCGGAAGTCATTCATTTTCAATGTGAGCCAGCGGCGCAGCGCGACTTGGACGTTGAGGGTGTCGAGGAGAGTTGAAATCAGGTCAACTTTATGGTAATGAGCTATGACGCGGCATCTGGCGGCAACCAATTGGAACATAGAAGTCCACCGCTTTAGAGGATTCCAGAGAACGCAGTCCTGTAAACTTTGGTTCCGACCTCATTAGTTCCCAAGCAAAATGGAGGAGAGGTTGATTATTGCTGTGGCGGGTTTCCCAATAATCTATGACGTGTCCCTGTTTGCATACAGGGACATTAAAAAAAATGATGCGTGGACCAAGGTGTCTGAGATTGTTGGTGTTCCTGGTGAGTTGCTGATGTGCATTAACGTTATAGTAATAATAATCTAATGACATAATAAATAATAGTATAATAGTCCCAGTTCACTTTTAAACCTTTAAATCAATTTTCCTGATTATACTCAGCTCAGCTCCAACAATGAACTGTTCCAACTATACACTTATTTTCACATAGCTATGAGAAGCGTTATACATGGACGCGCGTGCAGTTGCTGTACTGTGTTAAAGCTTTAATCAGGATAAAACCGTATATTAAAAGCTAACATAAGCAGTAGCATTTACAAATAACAGCATATCTAAAAGTATGAGACAACAACAAACAAAAAACATAGCCCTACCATTAAGAGCCGTGCTTGTACAGGTTCTGCACGATCCTCTTCAATAATATCCTCTGCTTCTCAATCGGGCTCAAACTGATAAGCGATATTAATGACGCCGTTGTTTACAATACAACCGGAGCACATGCCGCTGAGGTGAGGGGCGGGACGTTTAGATGCGCACTAGAGGCGGTTTAGCCAATCACAACACACTGGGCTAGCTAACCAACCAGAGCCCATCGCCTATTTCTGAGGGCGGGGCTTCATAAAAACAGGAAAAGATCGGCCCGTTTCTCAGACAGGGGACAGAGCGGTGTGGAATAAAGGTAAATTATGTGAAAAATAATGTTATTAACGTTTACGTTTATGGGACTGCACCCCATAAACACAATCAAGCCTAGAAAAAAACCAGTGAACCACCCCTTTAAAATTAAGCATGGAAATCTCAATTACCTTGTGAAAGCTTCTGAAGTAAGCGGCTTTTTCATCTGGATATTTCTCTAATCGCCGTGGTCCTTTACTGGACGCCTTCTTGAATACAAGCCAGCATCTTCTGAAGATCTTTTACAGAAAGAAACATTCTTATTTACTCAAATGTTTAACATTTCGGACATAAAATAATAATCAAAAAATTATTAAATTGCAATTAATCACAGTCTATATTTGGAAAAAAGGGATTTAAAAATAATATTTAAAAAAATTAATAATAAAAAAAAAAATATATATATACACACTTATATTAAATCTGTAATAAAAATATGATTAGATTAACAATAACTGAAATACATGCTATAAAAAAAATTGCAATTAATCACAATCTATATTCGGAGATAAACTGGATTTTTTTTTAAAAATCATTATATAATGTAATATATATTTATAAATCTTAAATTATCTAAATACAGAATGTATATAGATATATAATGAAAAAGTAAAAATTAACTTTAAAATAAAGAAAATGAAGACAATTCCATAAAAATAATACAAAGCATTATTGACAACATCTACCAGCTTGCATACAATATTGAAAACATTTCCATAAAAAGGATTTTTAGACAATAAAACACTTTATGTAACACAATATACCGTTGAGCCATGAAACACATGAAAGAACCTCTAAATCTCAGTGCCACTCTCATTTCAATGTCCATTTGTCTGAGTTTGCCCCCTGCGCACTATTTAAAGAAATAAAGGCCTAAAATTCTGTCAGAAACATTCCTCCCAGCAACGTCTGAGACTTTCACAGATTAAACACTCACATTCCCCTGACAGCCTTTCAAGGTCAACGGAAAAGAGAGAGTGTGAGAGAATGTGCACAATCTCTATTAAAAAAAATCCACAAACACACACACACACATACTTATTTCAATCCATTTCCCCTGACACTTGTGTTTATTATCTTACACTGCCCAAAAACAGACACAGTTCTCTCCCAAAATGGTATGGGGAAAATCATAGCTTTGCCCAATCAATAACCCAGCAGTTCCATAATTAACAAATGAGGTTTGAATGGCCTTTTCTCAGCGGGACCATCCACATCTGTTTAATATCTCTGATTTATTTGCATAATAAAACATCATGCGTTACAGAATGGAAGATGACTCTTCTAATGTAGCTGAACATTTTACAATGGATATTTACCGAGGCTTAAGAGTCCACCTGGATCAGTGCCACCGTTTATTATCTTAATATAGAACTTTAATGGTACCTCGAGTCTGGTTTTCAAAAAGAAATTCTGCACACCTATATTGTGTGTTGGACCGAGGAGCGAAATGCCACCCGAGCACACTTAAAAACATATGACCCACCATGCTTTTAAGGTTAGGAGGATTCATTTACAGAATCCTGCTGCAGGCAGCCAGTGCTCATTTGTTGATGTATGAGTATTGCTGTCGGGATTCATATCCATGGGCAAGATTAATTTGTTTACTCCACTGATGTAGTGCATGGAAAAAGAACAATGCTTAACTTGGCACTCAACATAATTGATCTGGGTGAATTCCTGTACGCACGCCTGGTGCTCCTGATACCTACTATGTGTGTCGAGCCAAAAGGTTACACGCAAAATAGCTCCATTTCATCCACATTGTTGCAAATGGGAAAATCAGGACTGCCTTAAAAAGATAAGTTAATTCAACAAGATGCTTAGTTTAGCCAATTTATATTTTGTTTGCACAACTTATAATTATACATTTATTCAACAAAATGCTTAGTTTAAACAACTAACCCCCGGTTTCACAGACGAGGCTTAAGCCTAGTCCCAGACTAAAATGTAAGTCTGAGCTGTGTCAACTGAAAGAAACTTGCACTGACTGATCTTAAAATATATCAGTGCCTTTGTTTTGTCTCAAGATGCTCACCAGTAATGTGTTTTCTAAGTCAAATTTATGAAAAATTACTTAAATGCCATAATTGAACTATGGCCTAATCCTGGCTTAGTCTAAGCCCTGTCTCTGAAACCAGGCCTAAATGTTTGTTGGTCTGCCTAATTTTATGTTGTTTCAACTTAGCACAACTTTCTTGTCTTGTTGGGCTAACTAAAAACTTGTTGGTTAGACAAAGTATAAATGTGATTCAGCTTCACCTTTGTTACCCCAACTATTAATTATAGGTTTAAGGAACTCCAACATATGTTTAAACAACAAAAGTTTTTTATCTTATTTAACACAACATTTTAAGGCAGCCAGGTTACAAATTATTTTAAGTTGAATCAACTTGTTTTTTTCCAGTGAATAATGAAACACTGCACGCATGCCATCTGTTATCAAATGTGGATATGGAGATGATTTGAGATTTGCAAGCCTCTGCTGCCTGGACTTTTGGGATGCCAGACTGTTGTGATAAGACAAGGCTGCTTATTCAAACATGCGCCCCCTGACATGGATAAGGAAATTCAATACTTTTAATTTTTATTTATGTTTAGCTACAGCGTAAGCTATCTATAATCTCATTTTTTTTATTGATTTTGGTTGAGGAATTCAATTTTATTTAGGTCAAGAAGAGCCGGCAAGAAGACACCATTTCAAATAAATCGTTTCGACAGAATGACATACAGCTGCCTCTTGACCTTCTACTAAAGAAGCAAACTTTCTCACACTAACACTTTGATTTTATGAAAGGCTTTTAGCTGAACCCTAGAAAGCAGCCAAGAACAAGAGACACGGCCCAGCAAAACTGAATTTCTGGGCCAAATGGATTTTTTGACGTTCAAAAAACTAACTGTAAATCAAAAAATATAAATAAATACATAAATAGACAAACAAATAAATAAAATAAATATAAGTTGCATGATCATTTTAGGCAAAATGTCTAACATGCAATTCATAATTGTACTGTAGGTAAAAAGGTCTAAAAATAATAATATTTCAGTATTTCTACTTCAAATTCAGAGTGTTACTTGCCGTTTATTCATAATTATTTGTGAAATTCACTAGCAAATTCTAGGTGAAAGTTGTTTCAAACTAAATCCTACCATTTTTTCAGTGTAAATGCACTGGCTGTAAGGCTAACTAACCATTTTATTTGAACAGATTGCATAATATATTATGTATTAGCAGTGTTGGGGAATAACTAGTTACATGTAATTGAGTTACGTAATTTAATTACAAAATAAATGTAACTGTAATTAGGGCTGGGCGATATAGCTAAAAAAATTATCAACGATATAATGTTTCATATCGTTCGGTATCGATAATTATTGACATTTTTATAACCTTTTTTAAAACAAAGAGCAATAGAAAACATTTTTTACATTTAACCACTGTATTTTTAAATTAACTCAATTTATTGAAACAAATGACAATTTTTTGTTTTGATACACCGATCGATCGGCCAGGGATTGGAATCGACTGATTTTCCTCATGATCGGCCCGGATCGGTGATCGGTCGGTCAGTCTCACTTCTTTCCGATTTCGTTTTGTTACCAGCGGCACAGGCAATAACATCAGCCGCGCATTCTCGCTTTCTTCTCTCAGACGACCCCTTCTCTCTCACACCGTCTCATTCGCTCCGGTTAAATAGTGCTTGTATTGCGCATTATTTTAGTCATTCCTGCAGGTTTCGCGCTTATACCAAACGCACGCGTACCCCCACTGATCTATATTAGTGGAGCGCACAAGCCGTGCTCAGTCTCAAACAGCTTGTGAACCACAAATACCAAAATGATTGGCTAACTGCACTAAAACGTTCAAATACATACAAAATTATGTCAAAATGCCCGTCTTGGTTTTGGAACGTTAAATAGTTGAGAATGAGAACGCATGTTGTGTAACAGTATATTGGGTCCGGGGATAAACTGTTAAAGGGACCGCAGTCCAATATTCCTGCTGCTGTCTGTCATGTTAATCAAAGAACAAAAGACAAAGAAAATCACTTTCTGCTCTTGACTGAATACGTTTTATAACTTTAATGGTAAGCATTAATCTGTATTTAATTTTTACAAAGAAGACTACAGAAATTAAAGTAATCAAATGTAAAATAACACTGGATGTGTTGTTTTACATTTGATTACTTTAATTTCTGTAGTATTTCTTACCTGAATAAAAACTTACTTAACCTGAAAAACTTAGTTTCATATTTTTAGTTTCAATTTAGTTTCAATTTATTTGTGCTGTTGTTTGCAAATTTTTTTATTTGTTCTTATTTTATTACTGACTTTTTACTTGTGTTTTTTTTCAAAACTTTGTGTTGAAGAAAAGTAGATTTTTGTTTGTATATGCTGTCAATTATAGTTCTTAGAAAGAAAATCGGAATCGGCAAAAATCGGTATCGGCAGATCACACTAACAAAAAATCGGAAATCGGAATCGGCCAAGAAAATTGCAATCAGTGCATCTCTAATTTTAACAGTCCAACATAAAATGAAAATTAAACAAATATCTAATTTCTAATGTTTTATATGCAGATTAAATAGGTTAAACTTTTGGCTTGTTTCCCGAGGCCACAGGAGGGCGCAATGAGCAAAATAATGCAGCACATTAAATTGCAACTCAAGGAAATAACTGTCTATAAAAACATGCATTTCGTCTAAATTAACTCAAATATATAAATCAAATATAATTTCGTAAATTGCATAAACAATTATGAACAAAACAGCATCATGTATTTATGCATTGCTTAATACAAAGAGCCAAATCGCCCATCACACAGATTGCCTTTAAAAACATATGAGACGCAGTGAAAAGGAATAAACCTGATGTGTTTTCTAAAAGTTTAAACTGTTTTAACTTTGCATGGATTTCTATACATCTCTTGTGTGAGACACGAATGCAGCAGTCATATCTGTCTGTCTAAAAAATGCGCTGAATTTGCATTCTGTGTGAATGGCTTGGCTTCGGTTTCAACCTAATCAAGATCTTTTACGCATTGAGCTACTATATATCTCTAATATTTTGAATGAATAACACAGCAACTGCGCTTCTCTTGGGCTAGACTAACAAAACATTTAACTACAACGTCACTTACATCATCATCACCGCATCTCGTGCTCCACTGATGACGCTCCCTGACATACACCTAACATTCGACTGGACTATTTTTGCATTCAAATGCAAATATTTATTT